TTAAAAATGGAATTAAAAAAAAAAAAAAAAAAAAAAAAAAAAAAGGTAGTAAACAATTTTTTTAAATTGTAAAAATGCAGAAAGTTCTCTGTGAGGGGTAGGGGTGGGTTTAGATAAAAAAAAAAAAAAATCGATAGTATATTTCATATACTATCGGTATATAAAAACAATAGAAGTCTATGTAATGTCCCCATTTAGATAGCCAAGTAAACATGCGTGTGTGTTTTTTTTTTTACAAGTGTGTTCCCACACACACTTGAAATCTGTCTAATAACTATACAAATCAAGGTCAACAATATGCCCTGTTCTGCAGCCTCCACTGTATGTTCGTATACAACAAAACCTATACAATGCATTCAATAGAACAAGGGTGTGTCAATTAGCATAGTGTTCAGCTGCAGATACATAGTTTTCTATATGAACATGTGAATCTATATCAGGTTTTAAATGAGAAACGATTTCTGATGTCATCCCAAATGTCCTTTGGATGCCTTCTTTGAATTATCCTACAATACCATCATCAACACAAAAGCATATGAACAAGACAAGAAACGAAACTGATGAGAACCCGCTGTGGGTTTCCTGCTCTCACTTACACACAGATTTTACACAAAGCAAAGTAAAGCAATTACAGAGTCACGAGCTTAGAGCCAACAGGCATTCACTGAGCAACCATGAAATAAAGCATCATTTGATTTACACAAATGTTACTATTATCGACGCTATCAAGAAAGCATACGCTGAAGGAAGTCAGAACGCTGCAAAGCTTTCACTAAAAACAATCCGTCATATTTAATACAGACAAAACAGAGCCTTTACTTTTTAACTCAAGGCCTGTTCCAGCCATAAACACTGAGGTCCCTGCAGGAGGAGGAAGAACACACAAAATGTACATATTTATACTTGATGTTTGCACTTTTCATTGTAATACTTTACTACTTTACTTCATAAGTTACTTTCTTCCTTTCATTTATTAAGGTTGGTAATTTTTTAATGTTTTTTAAATAATGCTCTTATGCTTATTGAGGCTGCATTTAATTGATATAAAAAGTAAAAAGTAATATTGTGAAATATTATTACAATTTAAAATAATGGTTTTCTACTTTGATATACTTTAAAATATAATTTATTCCTATGATCAAAGCTGAATTTTCAACAGCATCATTACTCCAGTCTACAGTGTCACAGGATCCTCCAGAAATCATTCTAATATGCTGATTTATTATCAATATTGGAAATAGTTTTGCTGCTTAATTTTTTATTTTTTTTTGGAACCTGTGATACTTTTTTCAGGATTCTTTGATGAATAAAAAGTCAAAAAGAACAGCAAACTATTATTTTAAACGGTAATAATATTTTACAATATTATTATTTTTTCTGTATTTTTGGTCAAATAAATGCAGCCTTGGTGAGCAGAAGAGACTTCTTTAAAACACATTCAAAATCTTGCTGATCCCAAACTTCTGAACAGCAGTGTATATGAAGTTGATTCAATATTTTCTTCAAAAAGCACTATTAAAATGAATATATTTGTACTAACATAATAATTAGTATTAATATTGCAATATAATTGTACTATTTTTTTTAATAAAAATATTTGTACTTTAATAAGTTAATATTTAAATATCAATTTTAGTGTATAGTTGTAGTTAATAAATACATTACTGTGACTATGGAGACTAAATAATTAAAAGTCTTATTAATAACTAGCTTGTGCACTTTCAGAAGTGATAATACACCTTAAATAAATAAACACAAGAAACCAGCATCCACATTTGCTCA